TCCAGTGAAATATATTTATGTTTGTGGTTGTAATGTGACAAAATATGGAAAAGTTCAAGGGGTATGAATACTTTTGCAAACCACTGTATGTCTAAAGGTTCAATGCGTTAGAATTTTTATTTGTTATGACTTTTGCCAGATACAAGTTATTTCTGTGACCATTGTGTTTTTTTTTCTCATTAAACGTGGGGTACCAACAATTATGTCCACATGCGTATGCGTCATTTAGAGCCCATTGTGTGCTAAGTGTGCGGGGCTAAGGTGATCTCGTCAAACTACTACACCAATGTGTTGAGCAGGGGCCTCATGTATCAATGGTGCGTACGCACAAAAACCTTGCGTACGCAATTTTCCACGCAAAACTCCGGATGTATGAAAACTGAAATGAACGTGGAAATGTGCGGAGCCCCACGCCAACTCCAGGGCTGGCGTACGCACGTTTCTGTGGTTCTGGTTCCATTGGCGACGCTTAGAGGTGATTCTGGGAAACTGTTAATGATGTGAAAATGATTATTGTTCACACCAGGCACACATGATTAACAATTATTACATCCACATGGACACAGTTATATAAAGGATGCACAAAGTTGTGCCAAAAATACATTTAACAGGAACGGATTCAGCCTTACTGGAGAATATAATAAATAGTGTAACACACAGAGCTTTTATTTATGAACAGAATTTTGTGATCCACAATAACGAGTGGCTCATCAGCCGTTGTCAGGAATAATCCTTTTTCAGTTTGGCACTGCTGCACTCTGGAGCGCGACACAGCGAGGAGCCGTGCACCACGTGTGCACAAGCAGAAGCAGTGATCAAACTGGGATTCCACAGGAGCTTTCCAGAGGGAGCTGGCAGACCAGTCGGGACTGTGTCAGTCCAGTCCACCCAAAGCCGAATCATGCCCAATGGAAYGGTCTCATCCATATGATTTTAAAGGTTGAGTAAGGGGCCTCTGCAGTAGGTTTTGTCATGTGGGCCAAGACGTCCCTGCACGTTATTGGCGGAGGTCTTGATGTGGGAGGAGACAGCCCTACTCGTGATTGGCGGAGGTTTCGATGAGGGCGGAGATGCCTCAAGATGTGATTGGTCGGACTGACATTGCGGGGAGTAGCTTGGTCGAGTCGGGCAGGAAGCAACATGTTTTTTAAGATTGATTTTAGTCATAACTTGAGAAAGGAAAATGCTAGCTGCACGAAATTTGAACGTCGTACATTTGAAAGGATGTGTAACAATATAGCTTGGTTAAAACATCCCTAACAAGACTGTAAAAAGATCGCTAAAAAAATCAATATTTTTTTTACAGACAAACTTTTATTTTTTTGTTAAAGGTGGGTTCTAGAAAAAAAGACGTGAAAATCATTTGAATAGGAATAAACCAGCTGTAGCTCTTTTAACAACTGGCCTTAGACAAAAAAAATCATTTTAAACAAAAATAAATAACATGAATTAGCTGCTGGTGCCTTTTCTCAAACGTGTCCCTCGCTGTGTGTGTGTGTGTGTGTGTGTGTGTGTGTGTGTGTGTGTGTGTGTGTGTGTGTGTGTGT